TTTCCCTTCTGCGCTCACTACAGTAAAACAGTAAGGATGAAGGTCACCTTGTTGACCATGAAAGGGAACAATCCATCCTATTCCCATTCCCTTTCTGTAAAGCATGGTTATGAGTTTTCCTGCAGCTTGACACCTGCTTGTGCCCTTCAGAGGTGAGGAGTTTGTGTCTGTGTTTATCAGGCAAAGACCGTGGAGCTTATTCTTGTGTGTGTTTAGGGTGGGAAGATCTTTAAGTTTTGTTGGGGCATGGAGGGCAACTCTTGTGCTTAGTTGTTATGCGTGAGACTTAAGTGGCAAGGAAATACTTTGGCCATTTATTATTTGTTTCACGCTAGAAAATTTCTGAGACAGTGTGCATAGGTAGGAGTTACTAATTATATCTGTGGAGCACTTCTGTCTGTAAAAGGCACCCTGCCCTGGTGCAGCACAGGACACTCCAAATCAAACATGCTAGTTAAAGGTGAAATGATTGTCAGCCAATTGGAGAGGTCACCATAGCTCTGAGATTCGTTTCCTCCCTTAACTGAAAGGCAGATCTTGAGAATTTTTGGAGAAGTGAAAGGCTCCATACTCATCCAGTCCTACGACCTGGGTGTCATTCTCAGCCTTTGGGGAATGGCAGGTAAATTGACATGTCATTAGACACATCTGTGCATCAGTAGGAGAGGCAAAACCAACTTCTCTTAGCTGTCTGCAAGGAACTGTCTATGCCTTGTCTGTGAATAGATTTTTACACTTATGAGCATTAGATTCAGGTGAAACATTGTCTCAGACCATTCTCCTGGTCCTTCTATAGCAGTCAAGGTGCTCAAATCTGACTTTTTCTCTTCTTAGTTCTGCCAGGACCTGAGGATGAGTTCTCAGGAAAACCATATTGCCTTACCTGATTGTATTTCTTCATGTTTTCGTTAGAGCCATAGTCATAAGCTTGGAATCGGTCTGCATATACTATCTGTTAACAGAACAGATAAAATGTAAGTGTTGAGAGACTGAGAAGCTGAGTACAGGAGGCATTTTCCTGCTAGGACTGAAGCCAAGGCTCAGGCAGTGGAAAAAAGACCTGGACCTATTGGAGAGAGTCCAGAGGAGGGCCACAAAATTGGTCAGAGGGCTGGAGCACCTCCCCTATGAGGACAGGCTGAGAGAATTGGACTGTTCAGCCTGGAGAAAAGAAGGCTCTGAGGAGAATTAATAGCAGCCTTCCAGTACCTGAAGGGTATAAGCTAAAAGAGGGTAAATTTAGACTAGACATTAGGAAGAAATTTTTCACTGTGAGGGTGGTGAGACACTGGAACAGGTTGCCCAGAGAAGCTGTGGATGCCCCATCCCTGGAGGTGTTCAAGGCCAGGCTGGATGAGGCTTTGAGCAACCTGGTCTAGTGGAGGGTGTCCCTGCCCATGGCAGGGGGCTTGGAACTTGATGATCTTTAAGGTCCTTTCCAACCCTAGCCACTCTATGATTTACTCTCACCCCTTCCTCTGGTTGCAGGCTTCCAGGGATACTGAGGATGGCTTGTAGGATGAGTGGCTTCATTGCCTTCCCTCTTGCTAACTTTCTCTCCTGATCCTCAGTCACCTCCCTCAGTATGTTTTGCTATTAAAATTTTGCTTGACTACTTAGTTAACTAAAGTGGTCCCTGTTTTTTATGCAGAGGTGGGTTCAGTTGTCACATGGAAAGAGGACATGAATGTCTAGAGTATGTCAGGGCTATTACTAGCCTAGTGTAAGAAAAGATCTCTCCTTACACGTCATGTCTTTTCTGTGTCAGTTTTGTCTGGTCTGCTCACAGTAGCGACGACATTTCCAGAGGCTCTGTACCTCTTACAAGAGTTTGGCTATACATGAGTAGTGCTCTGACAGAAGTTTTGAGGTGGAACATTGGACATAAGACATTAGCATTCTTCAGTCTATGTTGTCCAAAATACATGATATATGCCCTGCAGGACTGATGAGTGAAGAGTTAAGTACACATATCTATGGGGTTGTTTTTTTAGTGTTTGGTTTTTTTTTTTTTTTTGGGGGGGGGTGGTGTTTTTGTCGTTTTACTTTTATTTTAATTTTTGCACAAACTGACAAGTAATTTTAGTTGTATGCAACACAGGGTGAGAGAAAGTCAGTGTCTGTCAGTTTAGAAAAACTTGACTTCAAGTCTTCAAGTAGTTGGGAATATGCTAGAAATCTGCTTGCTGTATTGCCTTTGCTATTTTCTTCTGTCCTGCTGTATCTGTGTTTGTTTTGTAGCCACTTGACTTTGCTAGAGGCTGGCAAAACAGGCTGTGAAGCCACTGGCTGTCGATGTTTTGTCCCCAATTCCTGGCTCTTGGTAGGTGTATCCTGCAGGACTGACTGCTAGAAATTTTTGTTGGGGATGTCCTCAGGAGCACACCTATTCTGGAGCATAGTAAGCATTTGCAGAAATGGGGGTCTGCCTAAAGGATGCACGCAGGTATATCCAGGCTCAGCAGGTGCACCTGGACACATGCAGTGATGTTTCTTGGCGGGAGCGGTCTTGCCCTGGTCAAATTCAGATCGTGAGTAGAACAAACTCAGATCTCCCAGTGCATAAGTAGAAACTCATCTTTAGAGAACTGGAATCCAGGATCTGGACAGGGTTTCAGGAAATTCCTGGCTTTTGGGAACATTCCTGTAGAGCAATGTTGCTTGTCATGTACTGGAGTAGTACAAGGCAGCTCCCCACTCTGCTGTTGTGCCAGCAGAAGTGTTTGTGCCAGTACCTGGCTTTGGGGGGTGACCCAGGCTGCAATTAAGCCTCTGAGAGAAAAGCTTTAACCTGGATCAAGCCTTTGTCTGGTTTATCCCCTGACTGCTCATTTCCCCTATCCTCCTACCGCCTGCCAAGTGCCTAGACTGTGCTTGCGTTCACTTCTGCAGCTCTCAAGACAAATGTCTTCACAAATAAAGACGAAGGCTGGAAGCCATTGGAGCCCTGCATGCAGAGAGGCCTGATGTGCCCTGGGGAAATCTCAGTGCCTGATTCCAAAGGGGCAGTTCAGGTAATGTCTGGTGAGCCCCGGGAAACAGTGCTCCCTCCCTCTGGGGCAGGTGCCCAGGGCAGCCTGTGAGAAGATGTGATGGGTAGTGTCCCTGATCCACCACCTCTGGACTTCCCTGGAGGCTGCCGGTTGCATAAAAAGCAGCAGTAAGAGTTTGTTTACACGTCAGTGTGCAGTTATACCTGATGCCAATGAATAATGTTCTGTACTGATGTTCCAGCAGGGGAATGTCCTACGTATGTATCTATTCGACTCTGGAGAGAAAGCAGAAGTGTTAAAAAGGCAGGGACCCAGTGCTGTGACAGAATAAAATTGTAAAGGACCTGAGCAATATACTGCTGCTGTGTTAAATCCCCATGTTAACAGGACATTCTTCAAATAACAAAAAGAAAACTGAAAAGCGGACTGAGGAATAGCTGCTTAATAATATGCATCTGCCCACTTTTTCCAAGAAAGCGAGTCTGTTCCATGAAAGTAGTACTACTGTGGAGTCCTGTGGTTCAGCAACAGTAGGGAAAAACCTTCCAGTCCTTTCAGAGTATTTTCATCGCCTCACAGCAAACTCCCATGCATATGTAAGGTTTTTGAAGATTTGGTTTTCTCATCATTTTAGTCCTAATGTTAAAGAAGCCAGCTTACAAGACAGATTGCTTTTTCTTCTCTTTGCATTTTTGTAGTTTTGTTAAGAAGTTCCGATTCCATCTCCTCAGACTCCACCTCAGCTTGTTATTTGCCCTGAGAACCACATTCATGATTTAACTCAAGTCAGAAAAGATCCTTAATAGTTTAGCTCTGCAATGCAAAAGGGCTGCAATGCCTTTAATTGCTTTTTGCATTTGTTTCTCACAGCTTTCCTGTATGTGCTTTTACAAGTAGTTATAAATGGAGAAAAATGGGCCCCAGTCTTTACAGATATTGTAGTAATAAACATTTCACAGGCCAACTTCTACATACTTTGGCCACTGTAAAGGGGATTTAAGACACACCACGGTGTCCATAGCAAGCATAGCAACAACTCTGCTGTGTCTTGTGTCCCCTCTGACTGATGCACTATCCTTTGTGAATCCCACTGTATATGTGCTGCACTCATCAGGCACAGTGCAAGGGCTTTCTGTGGCTCTACATATTGTGGATTGAGCTGTTGGGCCCAGTTCTAAGGACAACAAAAAAGGGAAAATTCCCCTTACAGTAGTTCTTTTTGACTGAGTTCTGGTGCAAGTAGTTTGAAAAGTGAGAAGAGAAAAGGAGATTTTTCCTGTCTTTTAATTATTCCAGTGTACAGAGGACCCTGGTGTCGGCATGCTAAGGAAAGAAACTGGGAATTATGACAAGACAAGAAGAATTCTGACTCCATAGTCCATTGGCTCTTTTTAAAGAGCATCTGCGTATGACCAAAATCTGTTCAGTTTAGCCCCAGCGGAGGGCACACCTATTGATACGTGCAATATAGCTCCAGACTGAATTCAGTCCTTTTTCCCTGGGATTGGAATGTGCCTAGTTGTTGGTCTCATCCACCATTAGCTCTAGTCTTGTCTGGCACTGTTTGCACCACACGATGTCCTGGCATTCCCTCAGTCTGCTGATAACTATGTTGTGGTTTATGTACATTTACATATGTGACAGTTAGAAGATAAGGACAGGGTGCACAAATGTAACATCCAAAATCACCTTGGTTTTACTTTGAGTAGGTGTTCTTGCATACACTTACCATGTTCATATTTTTTATACTGCCTCCAGCTATGTAGCAGAGTATATGGCCACAAAACTTATCCAGGCTTGCACATAACTGTGTTGCAGGTCCTTTCAGGAATCCGATTTGGTGGAGGGCTCCTTTGAAGCCAAATAGGAACTGAGGGAAAAGCACGACACTTTTTTTCTTGTCACAGGAGCGTCTTAGGCAGTAAACTGTTGCTAATAGCCTAGCCTCCTAACTCAGTATTCAAAGATTGCTGAAACAGTTTGCCCTCCCACTACCCCTTAAAACATAGTGTATCACATATCCTTCTTTCATCATATTACTGGCACCAATCCTGGAGGAAACCATCCTTCCATTTCTAGTGTATTGACCTTAATGGTCACTCGTTTTTAAGTCCTGGAGAGTGTCATGGCTCTTATTTCAGCTCTGGTTTAGTTCCTCCTGCATAAGGCCACCAAAATATTAGTTAACAGCAAGAGTCCACTGATGAGACAGTTTCACAAGTCTCCTACTCCACTGGAACCTGCTGCTGCAAGCCCTATGTCTCCACCATTTTTCCCACTGAGTCTGGGAACAGATTTTGCAAGAGCACTTGATTCATCCCAAGATCAGTATCAACATGTCACCTGTTTCGGAACACTGTCTCAGGCTGAGTGAACCCTCTTGAAGGTAGGTCAGGCATTGGGCCTCTTAGAAGGAAAAATGACATACCCTGAGCATCGGTTCAGGAACATTTGTCAGCTTAATCAGAGGGCTTGTAGCACGTGAGCATGTGGTTACTGGGCCCAGAGCGCTGAACATTTTCACCCGTTTAGCCAGCTCAGGGTATGTAGAAAATGCTATGAAGCCTGTAAACACAGAAGGGACAAACTGAGTTAGTGAAGACATTTTCCACAGGCAAAACAAATAAAGAAGCAATAGGTAGCAAACAAAAAGTAGACTAGATTTGCAGCCCATTTTCTGTTATCTGTGTTTGGCTGTGCTGCATGTTTTACCTACGGCAAGTGTTGAAGCTAAGTCCTGAAACGAATTTTATCTGGGAGGCAAAGTTTTTTTTCTGAGGTTTAGAGCATGTCTGGACGTTGCCTTTATCAGAACAGTTTTTGTAGGCAACATGTCAGTGAGATTTCTGTGATAAAATCAATTCCCTCTAAAGTTCAAAAAACTGTAATAAAAATATATTTTTTCAGATTACAGTCTCTAAAGGTCTATATATGTTTATGCTTCCATGAATCTGTAGAGTAATTAGCTGAATACCGGGAGCTGTGAGTGTTTGCAACTGATTGTTTGCCTCAAAGGCAGCTGAAGAAAGCCTAGATGGTTAGTTTGTTTTGCCATGAGGGTCTTTAAATTCTCTTATTGGAGGAAAAGAAAAGGTCTGGAGCTGTGAGACAATATAGATTTTTCCCATGTTTCCTTCTCTTTTTTTCTGGGTCATTTACACTAATGAACTGGTAGTTGCTCACTTCTAATCAATGTCCATTCATAGATCTTACACATAAGCCATAAACACCAGGAACTGTCAGCTGATGCTAAAAGAAGGTTAGTTGCATTCAGAGGCCATGAAGTGAGTTAATGCTAAAGGCTGGCACTAAGAGAAAAAAAGTTATTAATGGGTTTTTTTTTTTCCTAATTTTCAGTCTCTGGAAACATGTTTTTAACCAGTAATATGGCCAGGTACAGCTACTCATGAACTATGCTTTGAAATGTAAGATTACCGTTAAATCATATGATTTAGTAATGTCAAGACTCTTTTTTCTTGCCTTTTGTTATTTGAAATTATATATTGTATGCACTGTTTTATCTTTTTAGTTTTTCCTTCCTGTTCACAAGGAACATTGTATGTCTTAATACAAAGGATGAACTTACTGAAAATTCCTGTTGCTGAGAATTTAAGAAAAATACCCAGTGCCAGTACCTGAAATACCCAGTAAATAACCACTTTTATGTCTCTAATTATTTAAAAAGTTGAACTATGCTTGGATCTGCTATTAGGTTGCATTGCTATAAAGGGTAAGCAAAGCTGTTTTTGGAAAAGTTTTGCTTATTTTCCAAATCTCAACTAAGAAAGCACTTCTCTGTTTGCTAGCTCTCCACAAACAAGAAAAACAACTGAATCAATGGGGAGACCCACCTGCTGATCAGATAGGAACATGAATGGCTGTGAACCATGAGTGTCCTGGCATTACCTGATGTTGAGCCTTCAGAGTGACCAACATAGTATACGTCCTTCTGTCCAGTTTTATTCATGATGAAGTACAGCTCTGCTGGAATATCGTATTTACCCATTTCATCAAAGCTGTAGGGGAGAAACACAAAAAGCTAGCAGACAATTCGGCTACCACGGTGTGAGTTACTGAATGTCAGTTTTGTTCATTGCACTAAGCGGGACCCATTGAAAGATGAGGTTGCACACTTTGTCTGCATTCTTGCTTGACTTGGGGAAGGGGGTAGAGGGACGGAGCTGTACTGCCAGGCTGCCTGATGCCTTGGGCTCACTGCGTAGGAGAGGCCAGTTTTGCCTGGCAGCTGCAGCCCTTGGGGAACTGAATTTAATCAGTGCTTTCACTAGCATGGGTTACAAAACATGTTTCTCTCTTGGTTGAATTCATCTGTGAGAGATCGGAGATTTCTAGACAAGGCTGTTCAGCCTGTTCCAGCTGAGGTTCTTGCTCTCCCTCTCACAGTAGTGTCGCTTGTCCTCAGCATCCCCTTTAATTTCCCACTGTCTGAAATCTCTTCCCCAGCCAATGCTCCCAACTCTCAGGAGTAGTGAGCACCCTTCTATGTCTGGTTCTTTACTCTCCTTGTTTGGTGTAAATCCTATTCTGACGCTAGTTTAGGTAAAAAACATCAGGCTGAAGCTATCTAGTCCCCTTGGAATTTCTGTCTTGAATAATCCTCCCTCTGCAGAGTACCTGAACTGCCAGAATTCTTTCTGGTTGGGATTAAGAGTCTTGTGTTTTAAAGACCAAGTGTTCCCTCGGCTGTTTCCCATCCAGACATCATAGCCAACATCTGCGAGCAGGAAGCCCAAGCTGTTGTTGGGCAGGTTAGAAATCCAGTGGGTAGCGTCTCCTAGAAAAGCATGCTGTAGGAAGACTACAGGCTTTTGCCCTGGAAAAGATTAAAGTTTTATTATAATTGAGCAGTAGTTAATGCGTATTTAAGATTGGTGCAGAGTGTAGGTTTTGAGAGGTTTAAAATCTTTCCTTCTTTAAGAAGCTTCCGGGAGAACTTTGCATAGATACTGGTCTGAGAAACCTGAAAGACTTGCTCCATGCAAGCAGGAACTGTTTAATGACATTTCATAACAATTTCATGATAGTACTGGCAAATAAATAACTTGATGAGGAGGCCTGTCCCCACCTCCTTTTGCACTGGAAAGCCAATTTACAGGTCCCTGTATTGAAAACATCTACCACAGCTGAATACTGCTGAAGGTATAACAGTCTGCAGAAGACGAAGAATAACTCATCCAAAGAAGCATATCTACCCTTAGGTTTGTTCAGTAACCAACTGAGCAGGGCTGAGAGGCCCCTGATCTAACTTTAGTTAACCCAAGTTTGAGAGTGAGGCTAGACCAGGTGATCTCCAAAGGAGGAGATCCAAACAGGAGGAGGCACTCAAAATAAATTATTCTGTAATTCTAACAAAGAGTAATAAACAAAGTAGCAGTATCCAGGGTACCTTGAATTCCAGGTAGAAACTTTTATTGCATTCAGAAAATGTGATGAAACAGAAGAAATGCTTTTGCTTTTCATTGATGACGTGATTTCTTATCACCTTCCTTAAGAATATCTCTGTCCTTCAGAACGCTGGGAATTAATATTCGTGTCCCTAACTTGATAGGCTTTGTTGTCAGACTTCTGCTTGAAACGTATATTACTTAGGCTGTTTATGCAAAACCTCCCCAAATCCAGTATACCAAACCCTCCCCCAGCTCACACTAGAGAAAGAAAACAGGATATGACAAACTTACTAAAGAAGTCTGAAACAAGAACAGAGACACTGAATGTGTGGACTTCAATTGGATTCAGAACTCAGGCCACATTCCTGACTAGATGCTCTTGCTGAGATGGAAAGGTGTGGAACATGCCATTGCATGCGCAGAGGGGAAAGATGGGGGACTTAAGCAAGAGTTGGGTCTCAGACCTTCCTTAAGTCCTGTAGCTGTGTCATACCTGTATTTTGGCTGTTTGAATTCTGAAAACAGTAAGAATGTATCCGTCCTCCGTGGTAACTTGATATTCCTCACTGGGGTATCCATGGTATCTGATAATTTCACTCTGTGGGAAGCCAAAAGAGAGCTGGTTAACATGCAAGTTGTCCTGTTCTGGAGGGTAACCAAGCTGAGTAGTGTGGATGTGGGCTGTTCTGTGACAGTAGTGCAAGGTCCCTGACCACAGGGACCATGTCAGAGAATAAATATTACAGGCCTTGTAAAAAGATGCATCAAAAGTCTTCAGACCTGCTTAGGTGGTAGTTGTCTGGTATTTGACCCCATATTATGGAATAAAGTATAACTGTATTGAGTGACTAACCTTTTGGGAGATAGTTTGTCATGTTTTGTAAGGCTGACACAGATCATACCTTTCTAGAGGGCAAAATATGCAGCTGTATCTGTATAAGACAGTGCCAAAAGATGTGGGTTTTGGTCCATGCTGGCTCCTTTCTTGCCAAAGTGTGACTACACAAGCCACGCAAGCAAGGCAAAGAGGGGTGGAGCTCTTGTCACTAAGGAACTCATGAAACCACCTGCAACTAAATTTGCATGTACCATGCGGAAATCTTTGTTGACTCTGAGCAAGGGGTTTTGGATCAGTTGACATTGTGAGTATTTGCTCTTCTAGGGGATTCGACCTGCCTTGCCACTGTACTGAGCAAACGGGTTATTACAGAAGGAGAGGGTTTTGCTTCCCTTGAGACTAGAAACCAGCCTTTGCCTTCACTGTAAAAGAGTTCTCTCTGGCAGCTCAGGCTGTTTGGATAGGAGCGTCAAGGTTTCTTCTAAGCTGGTGCTCCCTATCACAGTGCTGGAGGAATCCTTGTCCTCCTGCTGGGATCGCAATCTTCCCTTCTTTGTGCAGTAGCCTGAAATGTCAATGTGTGTTGAGAAAGGTGACTGCAAACAAGCATCATGAAGCATGTCCCAGCCTCATAGTCATTGTATACCTGTTGGGATTCACCCTAAATGCAGGCAGAAAAAGTCTCTTATTCAGTCTGGTGTGCACTGGAGCGCATAGTCTGTGCTCTGGCCACAGTCCAGGGCTGAGTCCTGTTGCTGGGGTCAAACTTCAGTAGCCTGGATCTCCAGTGCCCCTCAGGAGGTTCTGGGGAGCTGCCTGGCCTTGGAGTCAAGAGTAGCAGCTGGCACCCTCCATTGCAATGCTCATGCAATGTGAGAGAGTCACAGCTGTCCCCGGCATATTCAGAGACGGCCCTCATTGCAGGGGTGACCGTAATGCAGTGGTTTTGGGAAAGGCAGGTTGGAAAAATAGGAAATGTGTAAGGCTCACTTCTTAGCCTCCTGGCAGATACTGTTAGTGATGGGGCAGTGGTAGTGGTACTGAGATAGTTTAGAAAGAAAGGGAGAGAAAGTGACCCAACTTACAACGTTCATAAAGCATTCAGGGTTGCGAGTCTTCCTGCACTGGCTTTTGTCTGAAGTGGTTTTGGGAAAGGCAGGTTGGAAAAATAGGAAATGTGTAAGGCTCACTTCTTAGCCTCCTGGCAGATACTGTTAGTGATGGGGCAGTGGTAGTGGTACTGAGATAGTTTAGAAAGAAAGGGAGAGAAAGTGACCCAACTTACAACGTTCATAAAGCATTCAGGGTTGCGAGTCTTCCTGCACTGGCTTTTGTCTGAATTCAGAGTGGAGGGTGTTGCGAATCCTGTGGCAATTCCTTGGGAGCAGAGCAGCACAAGGAGGCACCACATCTTGGGGCTGTGTGAAAGAGCACATGTAGGGGTGCTTGTGTTAGGAAGAGAGTGCTGTGGAATTCCACAGGAAGACCCAACTGGGGAGGCTCCTGAGGGTTGCCCAAGGCTTGTTCCCCAAGGGCCTGCCAGAATAAGTACCTGTGTGAGGACTGTGGTCCTTATGCTGTGTAACAGGTAGGGTTGCAGAACAGGTGAGGGAAACACATGGGGATACCGTGTGAGAATGTGCCTGAGCACTCTGCAGGTGACAAGGGAGTTGTGGTTGGTAGTCAGGGCCAGTTCTTGGCATGAGTCTAGCAAAAACTTGACAAAGTAACATGAGTACCTGAGATGACCATCACCCAGCTTGTCTGCCTTCATCTGCCTCCACTTCTCTGCCAGCAGGAAAGGTGAAAGGAGAAAACAAGCACTGTTTCCTGTCTCCTCAGGATTGATGTGAGAGAGGTTTGGAATGGGCTCTCTTTGCACCTGCCCTCTCCTCCTTTTGGATCAAATGCCATCCTTGGTGCTGGTCCGTGGTGTGCTGGGGTGAAGGATTAGTTAATGAGGCTCGTGCAGGGTTGTACAGGGACCAAGAGTGATTCAGGGACTCTGAGAGGAGATGTAATGGGCTTAGGGCAACATGCTTGCACCAGATCAGTGGCAGCTTGTGCTTTCATCATGGGGTGATGTGCCCCAGACCATGTTCAAGTTCTGTTTCCTCTGAGAATATGAAGCAAACAAGCTGACCATGGATGGTTCCCCAGAAGACCCATGAGTCAGTTCCCAGTCAACCTTGCCTTTCAGGCTGAAACTGAGTCATCTAGGTCTCCATTTACCATCCCTTGGGCTTCTTCACCAGCCACTTGCTGCCAACTTCTTCCAATAACCTGCTCTGCTATCCCCAAATAATAGCATTTTTCCTGCTGCTTCTGAGTTCAAAGTTTCAGTCTCTCAAAATAGATGGCTTCTACCAGTTGAAAAATCATGGAATAATTTGGTTTTAGAGCAGTGAACAATGGATGCTGTGATCATCTTCATGTTGCCAAGGGCCTGTTCTCCCTTAGCTCTTAGAAATGGTTGCCCATATTATAAATCTTGTCTTGGTCATGGGGAGATGGACCTTTCAGATTCCTGGGTTAACTTGATGGTACCAGATTAGCTTTTCTGAATAGAAATTGCAGAGTGCAGTCTATCTAGCAGCAGTTTATACCAACTCCACCTGCAGTAGGTATGCTTCAAGGTCTTAGTCTTTGTTTTCCAGAACCCAGTCAATGAGTGCAGAAACACTGCTCTCTGTGAGCTCCCCACACCTTTTTTTTCAACGTGTAAATTTTGACTTAAGCACTCCCTAAAAAAGGGAAGAGCAGGTTCTGTGTCCCAGAAAGTTAGTGGGTGTGGAACTATGAGTTAAAACTGTTTGGAGAGCGAGAGAAATGCTGACAAGTTCAGTGCTCCTTGCCTACGAGAGAGCTGCAAGTAGGTAGGATAGGATTTTTCTTTCCAATCTGAAGAACGGTACAAAAAGGATTCATCCATGAAGTTCAGGACTGTGTTTACACATTCTGGAAAAGCCCTTATACATCCAATTGTTTGTTGTATGCTGTGCCTGCATGTATGGGGAGAGAATGACAGCGGTGAAAAGTAGCAGCCATTCTGCATGTGGATAAAGACCATAATGATCAGGTAGGCTACCTAAATGTTCAACAATAGAATCCATGGGACAAAAGGGACATGCATTGCAATGTAAGGTTTCAGGTCATCAAGGTGTCTTGTAAGATTGCCTCACCAGTAATGACTGGGGACATTACTGCTCTTGTAGGCTTGGTTTCCTCAGAAGAAGAGGACATGCTTCTGTGACCGCACTGTGTTTCTGTTGGTTCACCTTTCTGTCCATCCTGTAATTAACTTTTGGTGTCATTGGTAAATACCTGTCAAGTTCAGTGTTGAGATACAGGCCTGTAAGGTAATGGGGTTTTCAGGAACTTCTCAGTGAGCACTGTTTGCTGGGGGAGGACTGTTCAGTGAGGTTAGTGGTTTGCTAGGAAGGAGGCAGGCTGAAGGCAGCTGTAGTATGTTCTGCAGGCAGTGGACGAGTCAGCAAGAGTGAAGTAGCCAACTAGCCAGTGTCCATGCAGCTTCAATGCAGCCACAGCACACATGGCTGGGCATCAGGGTTTGAGAGAGAATTTTGTAGGAGACCTGCCTGTATTACAGTTTGCATTAGGAAGTTAAGCAGA